TGCCGTTGTTTTGATTGACATTGATTGATCACTTCCTTGATTGCCATCCAGTGTTCACTGAGTCCTTCGGTTAGTGTTTGAGCTGAAAGCCAATGAGAGAGTTCCGCTTTGAACTCCGATTGACAACCATTGCTGACACTGTATTGTAGGCATTACTTTCGGGTGAATGTTTTGTGGTAGGGAGAATCTGACTCGTTTCAGAGCATGATCCGTGTCCCCGGGTGTTGACCAGTGAGGGTGACAATCTTCAATAGATCCTCAGCATCGGTAGTTGATGGTAATGTGGTAGATTTGAGTTCATTGACATGAAGACGTTGGCGGTTTCCATGTGTCGTTTTCTGGTGCGAGAGGTCGTTGCGTGACAGAAACAGACTGTGGTCAGCGCACTGTTCGCTACCAACTGGAATTCAGTCAAAACGTGAACGTTCAGCCTTGGTAACTAGCGAGCTCGGATCGCTAGCACGATTGCGAGCTTCGAATGCCGGATCGCCTCACACACGAACGGTGCGAATTAGGTTTGGTCAGGAAATCGCAGTGATGACTGAAGTAGGGTTTTGTATGCGAGTTTCGGTGACACAACGTCTAAGAAGAAAGTGCTATGAGTTCTAGCTAAGACCGCTTGTTGATTTGTGTGCTAAGGTGTACGGACATTGAATGCGGCTAAGTGAACCGGAGATTTTGATTTCATTAGTCCTATGGCTTCTCATTGATCCTGTTGGTTAAACAGAGTGACATCCCATGGGTGGCATAAACAGGAGGCATCTAAAGTGAGGGGACGAACTAGGCAGATTAGAAAGAGGGTTTTGCATATGGGTGCTGGAAATTTGAAGGCACGACTCGTCGCGGTGGCCCACACCGTCGACGGGATTTTCTTTGGAAACCCTGGCCAGAGCCTTCAAATCAGGAGTCTGACCCACAAGGCAGTGGGGCCTAAATACATCATCATCGTACAGCGGAATACATGTAAGCTAACCTTACTGATCACTGAAAAATTCATAATGCTTACACAGTAAGTGAGAATGCGTAAGGAGGATAGAGAGTGAGCCTAATTTGGGTATGACCAAAGAACGCAAACCTCTATCGTCAACAAACAATCCAGCGGTGCTTACATACTATTTCACGCATACTAGTCTGACAATAAGTGGCAACAAAAACGCCACTTGTCGGTTTGCAGATAAGGCGTTTAATGTATCCAATTGTTCAGTTATAGAATCCTTTGAACCTCAACCCGGAGGACGAGAGACACTTAATCTACCTATTAGCTCTGCGCTATGACTCGGCATGAGGGTATGGAAATATTAACCAGGAGTCTGGGTCAAGTAGGTCCCGTTAGGCTCCCTGGATGGGGACCTCGGGATGGTTAGAGACACTGAGTGCTGTGGCTGGGTGTCGTAAATAGTGGCGTTCGTGCATCTTCTCAATTTCTCTGTATCATTAGTCCACTGAACTTTTCAACTTTCTCCTCGATCCTACTTTCAACCTTTCCTGTCTTCTAATGTTCATCCAAATGGGCAGCCGAAAGATAGCAACCAAAATTGGCGCACGATAGTGCATGGTTAATGGTTGTACGAACTGAACTGAACTATTACCTGTGCTCATTTTTTTCATGCTTCGTCTCCACTTCATCTGTTAACCACGTGTTTTTCTTAAATTTGGAGTGACCACTACAAATAAGACGCGGTGCGGTAGGCGACCGTTAGATGTGTGCGCAGGTACAATTCTGGAGCGTCCGTATGGGTGCCTGTAGAGACCTGCCACTCAAGATCTTTACGTTACGTCAAACAACTCAACGCAAGAACCTTTACGACAAACCATGATTTGTTTATGGTCGCGATACCGTGAAGGTTCTCATGCTACCCCGGGTGTTTGCCTTCGGGTTTTTCAACCGAAACTTCATCCGCTAAGTAGCCGGGCGATATACAAAAACTACAGTTCTCTGGGGACTATCGTCCAGAAAGTTGAAGCAGGTTCCTGAGGCGCTGCCCAAAAACGGTTAGTTCCCTATGTAGGAGGAGCCTTTCTCATGGTGCATTGTGAGTGTTCGGTACTTCATGTCGCTCAATCGCGATCAGACTGTCGAAGAGGCGGTTCACACACCATTTTAGGTTTAAAGTCAGGCACTTTCAACTAGACGAGTGAGCTTTTGGCTTTTCAGGACCATGGTAACCCCTGAGGGCTTCCCATCGC